CACAATTTATGTCCTTGGGAGGGGAGACAGAAAGGGATAAAGGAGCTGGAAGTTCTAAAAAAAAAAAATGATAGTGGATGTGATCATAAATAAGGAGCATTCTCTAAGTGAGAGTGTGATGGGAAGGTTTGGAACGCTGCAGAGTTTTGAGAGACTGTGGAGAGATGGGAATATTTGAAAGACGTGCTGCTGAGGCCTGTTTGTTACCTTAACACCATCCCAGGGCGTTCTTGGCTTTAGGTTGCTTAGTGACTGCATTTAATTTTTCCCCCCTCTTCCTACATAGTTACTGATGAGCCTCAGGGCTCGTAATGATGAGAAAATCAAAATCGGAATCATGAGAAAAACAGGTTGTTTTTCTTTTGTATTTGCTAAGCACTAGGCTCATTCCTGTTTGTACACAGAAAGTGTAGCATCAAGAGGTACAAAAACAAGAGATACCATAATCCTCATTTTGGTTCGTTTGAGTAGTTGAATTAGGGTATAATGGGATTTGCTTATATTCAACTCAGTGATAAATGTGACACCCTAAACCAGCTTGGAGCTTCCTTGTGTAAACAAAAGACCAGAGAAATTCTCATTAGGATGAACTGTACTTATTAAACACTATTAAATTTTGAGGTAGATTTAGATTCTTTTCTTTAGATTGTAAAAGCCCTTTACTTTTGCCTCTTTTCTGCTCCATTATCTGTTGAATTCAATGCCACAGACACAAAAGTGCTCAATAAATAAACCCAGATTATGACAGAGCTGGCTATAAAAGCAAAATGGTACTCAAAATTGCCCAAGTAAGTTGGTTATAGTTAGATTTTTTTTTTAAAAGGCCATAGTGGCATCATTCAGTAGAATCCCCAGCTTCCCTTAAATGATGACAAAAAGTAGCCAGTGCTGTCTTTGTAATGCCTGTGAGTGTCTAGAATCAAAATGAATTAGGAGATAAGGTCCAGGAGACTCAGTGGAAAGCTTTGTCATGATTGGATAGAGGGTAGCATAATTCTAAAACTTTTCCATGAAGAATCATATATAATCATATGATAAGCTTTTCTACCCTTCTCAGAAAGGGCACAGGTAAACCTGCATTAACTTGTTGTGTGAAATAACAAATTACCTTGTCCCATGTGGCCCATTGTAACTGACTTGGTGGGCTTTGCCAATGTCCCTTCCCTGAGAGTTGAACTTGAAAGTTTCATGAATGATGGCTGATCTGAGACTCGTCACAACATTCCTTACGTAGAGTCAGTAACCCATAAAATCTCATCCCTTTAAAAAATGACCAGTTTTGAACAGATTTGTGAGAAAGTGTCCTTTATTTCTGTAAAATCATATTACTGTGCATAGGGAGGGAGTTAGAAGAGAAACCATCCTGAAATATTAGAATCGCCATCTTTTTTGAAGGTTCCAACTAGAAATAATTATACCTCCCATACTTAGGGACTCTTTGTTTTTGTAGAAATTTCATTTACACAGAAGAGGAAACCAGGTAGGATTTTTCCAAGTTGTGCTCAGGGATTGCTTGATGATGCCTCCAAAAGGCAGGAGCTTGGTTTATCGGCAGTTTTTGGCTGGATTTTCATAGCAAGCATAAAAGAGTTGAAGCAGCAAATGATTTATGAGTGTGCCTGATGGGTGGAGGATGGGAGGGAGGTTAGCTTCTCTAGCAATCTGCAAACCCACCTGCCCGTACAAAACCATTTCTCTGTGTGCGGGGAACGACCATATATATCTTTATTTTTAGTATTTTCAGATTCTGGCCTCCTTTATTGATTCACTTTTACCCCTAATCAGAATGTTTCTTGCAATTCTTCTGTCCTTGGATGTGCTTTGAAAGCCAATTGAGAGTGAGAGAAAAATGAGCAAATGCTTCAATTACCAACAGTACATCAGCTCCACCCTCTCTACTCTTTGAAAAGAAATTTCACTTCTTAAATTCTCATCAGGTTATCTAGAGTCCTCTTAATACTTGGAGACCAGCCCTGGGCCTGTGTGGCATGCTTTAGCTCTTCCCATTACCTTTCACAATGATGCTTCTTTGTCCCTCAAACTCCATCGTATGCAAATTTATGCTAATGACTATGTGCAATGCAAATATTTCAATTTGGTATTTATAATAGAGAAACCACTGACCAGCAGACCTGAAATTGAAGCTTAGATCAGCTCTCAACTGTGAGACTTCATGTGCTTTACTTAAGCACCTCTGTAGAACTGGGATCCTAATAACTGTCGTGCAGAACTAGGGTGAAAATTCAGTAGTTGAAAAGCTTGATAGTCTTTGAAACATCACACAGGCATTAGGAATATAGCAGAAAGTGCTCTCTATCTACCCAAATTCTTTCTCCTCTTCTTTGTGCTAATGGAGTTATGTCTGGATCTAATCCGGGACTGTATTTTGCAGCCATCCTTGTGCCTAGGAGTAACCTAGGGAGAAATACATACCATCTTTGTTTAGTTGTCTTGCAGTATGTCTCTGGTCTTGTATTTCAACATCTCCCCTTTCTGATGGACTTGGAGGGTTATTAGCACAATAACTTAGTAGAATGACATTGGAGGCCAAGTATCATCAGCAGTTTCCTGAATTGAATCCTGTGAGGGGGCTGGAGGGATCAGAGCTGTTAGCTGATCTAGAACACCTGCCCTGGGCCAGTGTGTGATAGATAGTGATAGATTTCTATTTTGTTGAGCCTTTGCATTTCCAGGTCTTTTTGTAACAGCAGCTTAGCCTGCCATAACTGATACCAGTATTGTTATTGAGTCCACGTTACTAGAGATTCATAGAGTAATAGAACAGCAAGGAGCCCTAGAGGTCATCTCACAAATAAAAATAACACTTGGAGAGGAAACAATTTTTCTTTGGTCCCAAAACAAATTAGTTACAAAACTGGAATAAAATCCAATTTTCATTTCAAAACTTTGCTTCTCTTTAGAGTAATACACATATGGAAGCTAATACCTAAGAGATGGTCCATTGCAGAACATATGGATAGATTCAGACAGTGCCCATGTAAAGTTTTCATAACCCCTTGTAGAAATGGCAAATTAGAGGGGTAGATGGAATTTTACCTAAGCTTTTGCACCAGGACCTTGCAAAAAAACTTTGGGGCTTCTTTTATCAGCTGACCCTCCAAGTGCCAGAGGAAATACCAGAATTGCTTCTGGTTCTGTGTGAGCAGGGACTTTGGGGAACACGGCCAACCTGACAGTGGTGCTGGGTGTGTTTTAGCCACAGCCACCCACCGAGAGCTGCTGTGCTCAAAAAGATGCATCTAAAATGGCTTCTCGAAACATAACCTAACTAGAGAGAGACAAGATTATGTTTTTAGCATTTGAACCAGAACACGCTCACTCTGCTTTAAAAGGTCTTGTGGGACTGAAAAAGCCCAGGGAAACAGGAGTTGCAGTTCTTATTAAAGGAGAGAAGTATTTTTATTCATTGTTTTTATTCACATCAGTTAATTTAACATGCCTTGAAGGGTCCTCTTCCAGGGTAGCAGTATTAAAGTAGCAGCTTACTCACTGATTATAAACAAACATTAGTCAAGTTTACTTACGAAAGTTGGTGCGTGGATAAAAACAAAAGCATTACCTCCTACCTGACAGATGGGATATGTCCCAAAGGTCTCTTCCGGCCTGGTGACAATATGCCATGTGAGAAACTTAGAACAGAATCCAAACTCTTTAACTGTGACTTGCAAATCTCTCGATGAGCTGGTCTGTACCTACTTCTCTCTGGTCTCAGGGGCTTCTGTCTTTGGCTTGCAGCTGCGATGCCCCACCTGGTCTTTCTGTTCTGCCACCATGTAACAGGTTGCTGTTTCATGCTGGAGGGTTTCGTAGGTATCATTCACATGCCCACCTATTTGTCTTCTTGGATCTCAACTTTAAATATCAACTCTTTAGAGATGTCTTCCCTGACCAGCTACCTTCCCATTATCAATACAGATTAACAACTTAGTTATACATCTGCTTATTTCTTTTCAGCTGGACATTAGTTTCATCTACTAGACAGTGACTTAACTAGCTGATGACTCATTTTGACCATAAAAGGGGCAAAGTTCAATTTAGGGATAGTCTATAACTCCATATTAAGGCTGAGCCATAGCTCAGGTTGGGAGAAACTGAAACCAAGAGACTAGAAATGCAGAGTAGGACTAGTGACCTGGATAGCATTACTTTGGGGTAGCAGACAAAACGGGGTGGACTCCCAAACAGAGGTCAATCTAGCATGGAGAGTTGAATAAAAAGACCAAGAAGGTCAAGGGCCTGAGAAGAAGCCAGTGAAGGTGAAGCAGGGAAAGAGGCAACTTCTCAGAAGGGCTGATGGAGACTCATCCACGTCCAGCTCTTCAGTGAGCATCTCCACACTTCCTGGATAGCCATGCCCAAGACCATTCCCCACAACTCTGAGGGACCAGGGTGATTAGAGTGTGTCTTGGTCCCCTCTTGGACTCGTGACTTTACCTCCCTCTGAAAGTGGTGCTTGTGTTCCTTGGGTCAGACAGCTGGAGAAAGGTTCTTTCCTCTCTTTTTACTCCTCCTTCGACCAGTTCTTAACTCTGCACAAATCCCAGTAGCAGGATGCTTTGCTACACAGCCCTGATAGCTGGCTTCCCTAAGAGCAGTTTTGCACCTTTGATCTAGAAGCTGTTTATAAACCTTGAGCGGCCCTTCTACGTTCCCCAGATTCTCATAACCCTATGCCCCATTCATACATCAAAACCCTCTTCAAGTTTTGCTTCTTTTCACAAAAATGCCCCTTGCCTTCTAGAAGGGTAACCCAGGAATCCTCCTGGTTTGTAGACTGCCCTCTAGTGCAGAATATTCTCTTCAGGCTCTGCCTTTCTGTTGTTATAGTAACAGCAGATGTGCCTTCTGGAATGTTATGTTTCCTGAGAACAATGTTGGGAGGATCATAAGAGATATTTACTTGGTCCCAGCTCCATTTCAGATTTAAAATAAAAAATCCTGCACCCAGAACTGTATTTATTTTCCTGATTTCTCGACAGGGCGACAGAACCAAATCTTGGGAAGAAGGACATGCCTCATGATGGAATCTGATCTCTAGCATGTTCTACTTTACTGAAGAAAACATACTGCTAATAATTTAACTGCACTTCGATTATCAGGATAAGTTGTGCAATAAAATATGCAGATAGAATGGAAACTTCGTAAGTGACAAATGATAAATGATATAAAGCAGTGGATAATTTTACTTAGCTTCGATTTTAATGTTTGTCAAATGAATGAAGCAATGTATTTATATGCAGAAAGCCACATTATCATAAATATATTTGCTAAAACAGGAAGAATAAATTGCGGTTAAATTTAGTAACATCTGATGTTATGTGTGAATGTTTATTTGTGATTAAATGTGAACAATTGCTCCTTTAAGGTAAAGGTCTGCGTATATGTGATTAATCAAATTGAAATGAAAGTACAGACAGCTCATGCCATGCCTAGTTATCAGAATGATTGATTTTAGTCTGTGCTTCTAGGTGAAAAAATATCTGTTAATAACCCCAGCAGCCAAACCCCTGATGTCCCTGATAGCTCAATGATTTGTGCACATTCTGCATTATTGGGCTCATTTGCAGGTATAGGGTCTACACAATGATCCATTGGATCACAAAATTATAACACGAGAAAAGTGACATCCAGATTTATGCAAGAGTTATGACTGCAAAGTGCATTTCATCAGTAAGAAGTTTAAAATTGCTGCTGTTGTAGCTGTCACCGGCATGTTATTTTCTTTGGTTTGTGTGTAGGCAAGACTGTCAAGGTTTTATCACACAAACTGGTGTTTTTGTGTGCCGTAGCTCCCTGCCTGCTGGTGACAGCCAGCCTCTGATCTGAGTTGTTATTAAGTCTTCAACTTTAAGATAGTACTTTACCAACTTGGTTGAATTACACTTGATCATAAATACCTTAATGTTTTACTGGGTATAAAAGGTGTAGAACAAAACAGAGAAACAGCTCCACAGTGAGTATTGGTGGATTGCAGATGGTGACTGTTACTTGTCATTGCTGTAAAGAAAAGTGGTGTCAGACTCAGAGTTCTCAGCTAAGGGTGCTCTTGAAATGAAGCACCAGGTTTCGCAGAAGACCTTGCATAAAGAATTTGGGCATCTTCTCCGTCCTGTCACCCATCATTTTCCAGGCTTAGCCACTATATCATCCAATTGTCAAACACGTTGGCCCCGCTCCCTCTGCCAAGGAAATTTGTTCTCTTTTATAGCTACCAGAAATTTGTCTCTGGATGCATGTCGATCCAAAACGTCTAAGGGAATTTATTTGGTACCAACTCTTTCAGATTAGGTTTTTTTTCCCCCCTTGTACCCACAGTTGTGTTTTGTTCCTTGCTCTAAAGAAACCAGGAGAAATGGACAGAGTCATAATGACAAATCGTGGCAGGAAAGCAGTGGATGTCTTTGATATGATGAAATATCATACCAAAGGCATTTTACCTTTGTGGAAAGAAATGTAATGCTAATAATTTTCCTGTACTTTGATCATTAGGTTATATTAGGAGGTAAAGTATAGTGGATGAATATAAGGAAAATGTCAAATGTTGCAAAGAATAGTATAGCTAAACCACAATGGATTCATTTATTTAACTTGCATTGTAATACTTATTAAATGAATGAAGGAATGTATTCAGAAATCCTTCCTTAGAAGGCTCTTTGCAGTTTTGTCTGGCCCGCCATAGGCACTCTGTAAATAGGAGCCATTGTTATTGCTATTATTCCTATTATAAGCAAGAAAGGAATGTAGTTATAATATGCATATTTATCTGGTGAATAGCTGATAATGTGAGCCAGAGCAACACCACAAGTGTAAAATGAGCATTCTTGAAGAAACTCATGACCAAGGGGCCAAACTTCCCAGAGACTTGGCTTTTTAATAGTTGAAGCCAATCCTGACCTGAATCTCTGGGGCTACATTATCCAATGCAGTAGCCAATAGCCACACGTGGTATTAACATTTGAATTAATTAAAATTCAATAAAAATAAAGATTCTGCTGGGAGCCATTAGCCAAGTAGGTATGACAATTTCCTTGCCAGTGTACCCCATGTTGCTGACATGTTGCAGTGACATTGAATGTAGGTGACCTTGTTCAAGGACCAAGGCAGATTAGGGTGTTCCCGGTTTTAAGATAATCGTGTTTAGGGCGTTCCCAGTTTAGGTTCCAGGTTTAAGGTTTAAGATTATTCCTGCTGGGAATAGGGCGTATCCTGCTGCCTGAGTTCCCCTTGAGTTCTCACGGGATTTAGACAGTATATTTTGGAGATAGAAGCCCAGTGGAGGTGGATTTGGGCAGAGAACGTGGATTTCCCCAGAACGTGATTGTAGACGGCTGGTGTGAGTTCGGGAATAAAGAGTTGCTGTTTGAATCTACAAGCTGTGTGGTGGCTCGTGATTGTGTGCCCAGCCAGACTGCGGCATTTGTGCCCAGCCAGACTGTGGCAGATTCAGTTGCTTTCTCTTAAGAGCCACATTCCAAAGTGCTCATTAGTCACATATGGCAAGTGGCTACCATACTGGACAACCAGAGAACGTTTCTATGAGAAAGAGTTGCATTGGGCAGCACCACTCTTAGTTAAACCCTGCAAAGATCTTAGAATTTGGAATCTAAAAGTCTACAAAATATAGGGAAAAAAATGTAATTAAGTGAGCACCACAGGTGTTTGTGGAAAACATTAGTAAGGAATCAAAGAAGGACAAATTGTGCCCTCAAAAGCATTTAACAATCTTTGTTTCTCTTGAGTGATTGTAACGGTTGGTAGAAATTGATAGGTTAACTGGGAGGATCAGCAGTTACCTTTCAGTATAACTGTCTGTGCTACTGAGGGATTTGGGAGGAAACTGTGGCAAAATTGGGACTGGAGTTCAGGTGACATGGGCACATGGCCCAGTACTCTGTCCTCCATGCCACCTCCCTCCCAGCTCCCAGGATCACTTTTATCCAGCATGGTATGTAGTCTAAGAGGAACGATAAGATTGTCATTTGAGGTTCCTGCCAGTACTATGGTCCTATGGCGGAGGCCATGGAGTCCTAAGGAATAACAATAGGAGGGAGAACAAAATCCATAGCAAACCCAGGTCCAAGGGAAAAGTAAATGGTGGCAGAATGATCCTGGAATTATAAACATTACCTTTAAAAAGTGGCTTTTTCAAACACAATGTGATTGGGTCCTTTCTCTTACACATCTGAATTTAGTCATGCATAGAAGGTAAGTAGACTCATTCCTGGTTACTCATTTTTTATGAGTAAATTCTCCATTATCCATCATATCATCATGAATTGTGTTACATTTATTAATGATACTTGATTAATCACAAGAGAGACAAGAGCTAATGTCTTCCTTGGTCTCGACAATTGCTAGGAATGCAACTGATGGCACTGCTTTCAGACTTTACTGGAATATGTGTGATAGTACATTGGCATTCTGTCACAGAGACAATATGAAACTATAGGTGACTTTGAAGACGTTTTTTCTCAGTGAAAGCTTCTCAACTTTCTTCATCTCTCTCTCTCTTTTTTCCCTAACAATTTAAGTCATTTTTGTTAGGGAAAGTTGTACAACACTGGCCTTGAAAGATTATTCTACATGTAACCTCCCAGGGAATTCGAATGTGGTAAAATTTGCTGAACTTCACTGAAATGAAAACTGAAACTGTCACTTATTGGAGACGGAAGTGGATCGTAAAACATTGTCAGCATTTTAAGTCTTGGGTGAAGCTTATAAATATTATTGATTGTTTTTAAATTAGAGAAGTGTCTGTGCATTCCATATCAATTTTAGTTCATTTTTTTTAGAACTCAAAAAATATATTAGAATTGTATTGCTGGCATGGACCTCAAATGACAATCTCGTCTTTCCTCCTGGACTATAAGCCACACTGGTTAAATGCAATCCCGGGAGCCAGGCTGTAAGCAGGGAGGTGGGATGGAGAACAGAGAGCTGAGCTGTGCACCTGTGTCACCTGTATTCCAGTCCATTTTTAGTTTCCTCCCAAATCACTCAACATCACTGTATCTCAGTTTCCAAACTGACTAAATGAGAAAAAAACGAAAAAAACCAATCTCTAGTTCACTTCTTATATAACTAGTTTTCTGTTGCTGCATGACAAGTTTAATACCTGTTTATTAACACAGTTGTATAAGTCAGAAGTTCAGGAAGGCTCCATTAGCTTCTTTTTGGTTAGGGACCCTCAAAATTAAGGTCAAGGTGTTGGCTGGACTGGACTCTTATCTGAATACCCTAAAGAACAATCTATTTCCAAACTCATTTGGGTTACAGGGTTAGGTTCCTGTGATTATGCAAAGGAGGTCCTTAATTTCTTGCTGACTGTGAGCTGGGGGTCATTCTTACCTTCTAGAGACCAGCTATATTCCTCATCCCTGGCCCAGGACTCATGTCATTAAATCCAGTGGGTAACTCACTTTTGCTTATCTTGAAGTCAATTGATTAATAACCTAATAACAAATACAAAATACCTATCGCCATGTAACATAATCAGGGGCACTGTATCTCAACATATTCACCATGGAAGGAACTAGGAGTATTGAAGAAAGCCATTTGGTAATTCTACCTAGCTTGCTAACCCTAGAAACCTTTGACTACATCCTCCAAACCCACAGAGAATGCCTTTCTGTGAGGCTCCCTGCTTCCTTCTCCTCTATCTGGAAATCCTTCCCTGGTATCTACTGTTAGGTTCTCTTGCTGCAATTTAAACTCGTTGCTTCCAGTTCTACCTGTATTCTTAAATCAAGTTTTACCACAGTATATTCCTTAGTACCAGGAGACAGTGGTATGTTTCTAGAGCCTGTTGTTCATTTCAATACACAGCCAGAACATTCTCAGTGATGTAGAGGAATCTGACACAGGAGAATGGACATTTGAGATCTAACCAACTCTAGCAGGTGCTCAGGCAGACCCTTGTATAAGAAGGGGCAAGGGCATCTTCCAGGACACTTCCCAGTGAGCTGCAAATGATAGGTAGAGGGTAGAGCAATCCCACTTTCCTCTCCTAGGTGCAGGCTTTGCTCTGTTCAGGACATTTATAGTAAGCAGTCTTTTTAAATAAGGTTGATCTTTCCTGAATCCAGCACCTTTGTGGTGACTTAAAGTGATTTGGGTTGCAATGATTTTTATTCATGATTTCTACTGTACAAATAAATGGAACAAACTCTGAAAGTACAGATGATCCAATAGATGAAAATGAAAATCACTACCTTCCTATCATCTGGAATTCACCTTATATTGGATTGCATATCTTTCTAGATATTGTTCTATGATGTGTGCATAGAACAATTAATTTTAAAAAGTATATTATACATATTTGACAATTTATAGTGGAAGAATTTCATACTAATAAAGATATTTCTATGACATTATTTTAAATGGTTGCCCCTAATATTTGCTTTTGTGGTTATGTATTTATTCAGACATTTGTGCTAAACATTTGGGTTTTCTTTTTTTCCCATTTTTATAAAAAGCTATAAAATACTAGATATTTTGGCATATGCTAAACTACTTAGGAAAAATTTCTAGGAGTTGCTTAAGGAAACTGAACATTAAAATATTTCATAATCTATTGGCAATGCCTTCTAATTGTATGATGACCATTAGCTAATATGGAATCATACAAAGAACACTGGGTTTGTGGTGAAGACAGGTTGGAGTTCCTCTTTTATCACTTACTAGCTCTATAATTTTGATCAGATAAGTCCCCTGACCCTTGTTGTCATATGTAAAATGGGAATAACAGCATTTATTGCATCCACTTGAAATAGTTATATGCAGGTGAAGAGAGATGACTTACAGGAAAAGGACTTTGAAAATGATAAAGTGATGTCAATATAAAACATCTATTTATCCCTCTTTCTAAATAAGGCCAGTGGTCCTCAGGCAAATAGTCCATCATATCTCATTTAATTTTACCTCTTTTGGAAATTAATTATACTAACATCCCCCAAGAATGCACAGGGGTTTTGATGAGACACCAGCGAGTAAATCATTGGCCTTCATCTTGTTCCCAAGCTGTGTTTCCATCCTGGTGTGCCTGTTTCTTTTCTTGCACAAAAAGTCTGCATCTTGGGAAGTTTAAAAAAGTTTATGACTTGGGAAGTCCCTTTCTTATGGTGACTGTATTTGTTTTTTTTTTTTTTTTCTCTCTTGTTTGTTTGTTCCCCTTGCTTTTTCAAGTTGGCTATTGGCTAGGTCCCCTGCTGATCTATTATGTTCTCTATGAGGTTGTCTTTATTGGTACTCATAGGTGGCACTTAGCACTCATATGGCACTTTTCATCTTGAAAGCACTTTACAGACATTAGCTAATTAATTTTCACATCACAGCATGATAGGTAGGGAGGGAGCTAATCTAAGCATTTGAGCTATGGCAATGAAAGGTGTGTTACAAGTACAATAAATTATTTTTTATTATTCTTTGGAGGAGGAAGAGATGGTTATGTAATTCATCCCAAACCACAAAAGGCATTTGCATTACAGCCGAAATTCAAGCCTAGTCAGATAAAGTTAGTTGGAGCCCTGGCTCTTGGCTGGTGAAACCTACCTGTCAGCTTCCCCTTCCACTTCTCAAAGGAGCAGCATTACTGGTCCCTGAGTCACTGTCTTCCCTCCTTCCCTTTTTGAGTGATGGTACTTACTGAAATGAACCTGATAAGGAGTTTGAAAGGGTTTCAAGGAGGCCTCCAAGCTTATGAGAAGGAAGGGTGGGTGACAGCAGGAGGCAAGGCCCCATACTGGGCAATTATGGTGGGATTCTAATTTGCTTTTGAAATCTTAGACTTTTCTAATTGGCAAAACCATGATATTGTCTTTGCTTGGGCAGTTGGGAACATAGAGAGGGCCACACCCCATTGACCAGACTTTCATAAGCTGTAGGACTAGAGCGCTTAAGAATGGAGAGGAACTTTGCATTAGGCAGAGGGGAGTGAAGAGAGGGGAGGGAGTATGGGGGTAGGAAGGAGAGGAGAATGCATTGGACATTATAACCCTATGTACGTATATGATTACATGACTGGTGTGATTCTACATCATGTACAACCAGAAGAATGAGAAGTCATACTCCATGAATATATGATGTGTCAAAATGCATTCTATTGTCATGTTATAACTAATTATAACAAATTTAAAGAATTATATCTCAAAATTTTAAAAAAAAGAGTGGAAAGGGAGTTCAGGAAGCATAAAACCTAGAAATGTTGGCTCTGAATTTTCTTTTCGTCCTCTGGACCTCCCCAGAGCTGACAGGCACAGCCCACCCTTCCCTCCAATTGTGAGTGTGCCAATCAGAATCTCCAAAATTGATTTCAGAAAAGAGAGATTACTCAGTTATGAGGAAAAAATCTCCTTGCTGGAAAGTTCCTAGGGGGAACCCAAGACTGGTGGGCTCAGAACTCAAAAGACTTTCTCTCTTCAATGAAATAATGTATATTCTTGCAGGAAAATATATGATTCAATTTTCCCATGTCCTGAAATGTAGTCAAGACTTGCAAAAATAATAATTTAGATTGTAAAACATTTAGACTTTGGAAATCGGCAAAGACTGGGAATGGTGGAGGAGGAAAAGCCGTCAAGAGCAAACCCTGAGGTCGGAGCCACTGGGCAGCAGCTCTTCTCTGACAGTTGGGTTTGTCTGGTCTCTATAATTTCTTATGCCAGTGTGTGTCAATCTGAACACCTAGGCAGATGGCCTAAATAAGAGGGGAGATCTGACATTTAGCTGTTAATTTATTTTACGGTGTGGGCTGTCATGTATTATACATGAGGTAAATAAAAGTGATGGACTAATTATGGAAACGTGCACTGCCTTCCAATTACTCTTGGATTACATGTTTAATATTTTGAAGTATTCCAATTACAGGGAGAGTTGTCACCACAGCGAATTTTATTTGTGGAATTCCAACTTTATCTGCAGGGAGGCTCAGCTGATTTTCTGCTAAGTAAATGAACACCTTAGACTTTCCAGTAGAATGAGGGTTGAGGTGTCTCTGTGTGTGTGTGGGTGGGGGGGTGCAGTTATATCATATTTTAGACTTTTATTTTTGACAACCTATTTCACAGTTGACTGGCCTCCCCCACCAAAACTGGGTATGTAGACCACTTTGAAATAGTAGATCCACATTTATTGTCATAAAAGGGCAATGCCCTCATTTTTTAAAGATCACTTTTGCTTAATTCAAGATCTGTAACTTGTTTTGGTCTATGAACTTTAACATATTTCTCTCACGAACGATTTGATTTGGAGAGGAATGGATCAACCCTGCAAAATGGTTTAACATTATCCAAATGTCTGGTTAAAAATTATACAGTAATTAAAAACAGAAGCAACCAAGTTCTTTCAAGCTCAGGTTAATGGTAATATAAGGAACAATGCCAAAGTTTGAAAACTAGAGGATTGCTTTACTTTGTGTGTAATGACTTGAAAACACAAAATTTTGTTTTGATTTGGACTTACATTCAATTTATCCTAACTACCTAAATAAGAGACATCTTTCTCAATTTTATTTTATTTTTATTTTATTTTTTTTTAAAGAGAGAGAGAGAGAGAAAGAGAGAGAGAGAGAGAGAGAGAGAGAGAGAGAGAGAGAGAGAGAGAGAGAGAAAATTTTAATATTTATTTTTTAGTTTTTGGTGGACACAACATCTTTGTTTGTATGTGGTGCTGAGGATCGAACCCGGGCCGCACGCATGCCAGGCGAGCGCGCTACCGCTTGAGCCACATCCCCAGCCCCTCTCAATTTTATAAAAACAAAATTTTATAAGATGGAAGGTTTTTGTTTGTTATTGCTTTTTAATTCAAGATAATTATTGTCTGAACCGGAAATCACACATTTTATTTTGATCTTTTGCAAAAAGTGAGCTTCATACAGTGAAGTAAATAGCTTTATTATAAAAGAAAATGCAATGTCTTTTATGGTTTTAGCATTATATTCATAAGTGGTGACATTATTTTTATATGCCAAAAATTATATATGCTCATATCTAATCTCATTCCAAAAAAAAAATCATTAGAGACATCTTATGTGAATATATAAACCCAAACAGGCAAATTATAAATGAGTTATTGGTTAGGAACAGAGAAACATATAAATAGAAAATTAAAACTTGGAGAAGAATTTGAACATTTAGAAGAGCTAAAAAATGAGCCACAAGTGGGCTCTGCTTTTCTTGGTATCTGAGTAAAAAAGGAAATAGGATTAATTCTTTAAGAAAAATGACTCACCAGGTACAAACAAACCTGTTCCTTAGGGTAAACAAAGCTTTTTTTCCCAGGTAATTAAGTTGCTTATAATAGTTTATTGCTATAATATAATATTAATATATGAGCATACATTTTTGGAAATATTCTCATTAAAGTTTTTATTATTTTGTGTCTGTTTTTTTCCATCACAAAACTGGAGCATGATCACTTAAAATAACAAACATTTCTTTTTTAAAAATTTATTTATTTATTCTAATTTGTCATATATGACAGCAGAATGCATTTCAATTCATAGTACACATATACAGCATAATTTTTTATGCCTCTGGTTGTTTACAAAGTAGAGTCATACCATCTGTGCCTTCATACGTGTATTTAGGGTAATGATGTCCATCTCATTCCACTGTCTTTCCTACCCCCATGCCTCCTCTCTTCCCCTCCCTCCCTTTGCCCTATCTAAACTTCTTCTATTCCTCCCAGGCTCCCCTCCCCACCATACCCATTATGGATCAGCATCTACATATCAGAGAAAACATTTGGCCTTTGTTTTTTTGATATTGGCTTAATTCACTTAGCATAGTATTCTCCAACTCTATCCATTTACTTACAAATGCCATGATTTTATTCTCTTTTAATGCTGAGGCATTTCTTATTGCTTTCTGGTATGTGGGTTTTTTTGGTCTGTTCTGGTTTGGCTCTGGTGCTGGATGGTCTAGCATGGTGTCAGCTAGGAATGTTGGACTGGCTGGACTCAACATCTGCATGAGCTCTCATCCTCTAGAAGGCTAAACCAGACTCCTTCCCATGGTGGCAGAAGGTTCCTAGTGGCAAGAGAGACCAAGCTCCAATGAACAAGCACTTTCCAAGTATCTGCTTACATCATGTTTGCTTTTATTCTATTGGCCATTAAGATAATGAATAAGATGCATGGTCAACCAAGATTCAAGGAATATAGAAAGATACTGTCTCTCTTGATGGCAAGAACTAAAAGTCTCATTGCAAGAGAAGGGAGGAATTACCCTGGCTATTTTTGAAACAATCTGTCACAGTCGGGAAACTAGTTTTCTGTTTATCATTCCCCATTGACCATTAAGGATTAGCCTGGAGTGGAGAAGGGTGTTACATCAGCGGCCACCCTCACCTGTTGCCTCTCATGTCTGAATGTACCCTTCCATATGGATGCCCTGTGATAGCCAATGGTGTTCCTTTAAACATTTCTCCTTAGAGTGAGCAGGATCGGAAACTTTCTCAGTAGAGGGCACTGGAGGGACACTGCAAGAAGAACAAGCTTCCTGAACTTTCTGCAGACCCACAGGTCAGCAATATGGGTGTGAGGATGCTACACAGAGCCTTCCCCATTCAAAGGCCCAGAACATGAACATTCTGTGTGTTAGCAGCCTTGACCGGGTGAGAACCTTTTCTCTGTGTGTTCCATGTGGTAACAAGAACTCTGTGAAACATACAAGCAACTGTGTAGGGCAAATCACACACGGAGCCACCAGCACACCTTGAAAGTACGTGGGTTCCCACTGTGCACGCATGGCACTGGCTGCTGATCCTCTGCTTCACGGTCTGCTCCCCACAGCATTGCATGGTGTCCAGCAACACCCACCAGCTCAGGCAGGCTAAGCCAGCAAACTCTTCTGCCATGCCGAGGCTGAAGCACACCTTCCTCCATGATGTCTGAACCCCTTCCAAGTTCTTCCTTCCTTGGATGCCCCCCCTCAGCCCTAGGGTACCATATAGAGTTTTTCTTTATAATTCATCTTTAATCAGAAAGGACAACCCTTATGTTTAACTTCCCCTGATTAACTTAGTGTGTGAATTCTAGATGGAACTCAAACTGCTACCAACACAATGGATAGAAAACAAAAAAGCTGGAGAAAGGTCTCCCTCATCCTGCTGGGAAAACTCAGGAAGATGAGAAAAAAAAAAGGAATGATAGGAAGAAGAGAAATGGAAGTAAAGGAAGATAATCATTTCTCATCTCCTTTTCTTCAGGGCAGAAGCCAGAGATCCAGGTTTTGGACACTGAAGATGCCAGTTCCATGTAGAGGAACTAGAACTCTTAGACATGGTTGACTAGAGTCAAGGTATAAACTCTTTGACAATGTCCTGGCAGGTATTTTTATTGTTTTCTTTAAAACGAAAGTAAAAATATGAATATCCTATGAGCCAGGAATTTCAATTCTAGGAATTTACCCAAGAAAAAATGAAAACACATGTCTATGAGAAGACTTATCCAGGAATGTTCAGAGGAGCTTTTCCCTAATAAACATACACTGGAAATAATCCAAGCGACCATCAATTGGAATATTTAAAGAATGTGGTATCTTCATATGTTGAGATGCTGTTCAGTAATAAAAGGGATATATTATTAATACATTATTTTGCAACAGCATGGATCAATCTCACAGACATTTATTCATCCTTTCATCTATCCTTCCATCCATCCATTTATCTATCATATTTGATATCAATATATTTCTACCTAAACACTTAACTAGCTATATTTGTTCATAGTGGTGTGAAAAAAGCCTCATTCAACAAAGTAGAGTATTATTCCATATGAATCTCTAGAAAAGTGAAAAGTAATCTATATTGGAAAAATTTCAGACCATTGGTTGCCTCTGGGAGCTGGAGGTAAGAGTTGAGTGGAAGTAGACATGAGCGTTTCCTGGGGTGGTGGTGAAGTTCTAGTGTCTTGATAGAAATTTGGATAGCACAGAGGTATGCATGTGTATGCATTGGTGAGCATCCACAATGGTGTAATTTAGATTTGAATATTTCATTGTATATGAGTTATGTAATGCAAGTATAGCTACTCAGTCATAAGTATGATGAACTATTTAGGCAGCAGCATACAGATATCTGAAATTTACTTTGAAATATGTCAAAATAATAAAATATATTGGTGGATTGGTAAAGGAGAAGGACAGATGGATATATATGTGATAAAAGAAAAATATTCTTAAATTTGAATGGTAATAACTGAATGTAGCTATGTAAGTATTTACTCTAAAATTCTTCCAACTTTGCTGTATATTTAAAATTTTCTTAAGGAAAATTTTTTTTAAAGTGCCAGTTAGGCATGGGGGAGCTTCTCAGCACTCAGCCTAGAAACATGCTTCCCTGGCCCCTGAGGGGAGACTGTGCACATCAGGAGAAGCCTCTTGCACAACTGTTTCAGCATGACATGGGGTGAGGATACAGGGTAGAGGCATAAAATGGGTGGATAGGGCTCCAAGGCAGAGCTCCTGGTGCCTCAGGCTTTGGTGTGATGTACTTACTATGCAGAAGATTTCAGGTGCCCCAAGATGAGGACTTCGGGGTGCTGAAGGTATCTGTAATTGGCAAAGTTTTGGGGTCAAGGTGAAGAAGTTACATGAGTAGCAAAAGGCCAAAGCTTATAGAGTAAGGGCTAATATGTGGGTATTAGCATGATGTTCAAAGGCAAAGGATTAGACAAATGTCAGGAGTCATCTCTTCATTTACTCATTAATTCAACCAACACTTCTTGAGCAACTACGATGTACTAAAGAGCACTCTAACATTTGAAGATACAATAGTAGCAGAATAGAATAGAATATTTTGCAACAGCATGGATCAATCTTACAGAGATTGATCATGTCAAGTCTCTATGGTTATAAAAAGCTTATATCCTGGTTGGGTGGAGTGGGGGGTGGGGAGAGGAGGGGTGGGAGGGAGAGGGAGAAAACAGGAAATGTGTCAGATGATTGTAGATGCTATAGAAAACCTAAAGCAAAGGAAGGTGATAAGAAGTATCAGAATAGAGGGGTTAGTATTTTATACTGAGAAGGACTTCCATATAAGGAAGAGACATGAAAGATACATAGGTATAAACCACGTGGCTGTCGTAGGTAGGAACATTCTAGATTAAGGGAATAACTAGAGCAAAGGCCCTGAGGTCAGAGCTTGCAATCCATCTTTTTAGAAGAGCTGGGTGGTCAATTTGACTTGAATCAGCAAGAAATAAAGCAGTAGAACCTGAGATCAGACAGGATGTGGGAGATCAGAGCAGATAGACCAAGCTTCACTTTGAGTAAAGTAGAAAGGCAATGGAAGATTTTGAGCAGACACATGTATATCAGAAAGAACATTATCTAAAATTTTTAAGGCTCATACTGGCTGTGTGCAGAAGAGACTGAGGAAAGGAGTTGAGAGTGACCCCAAGATTTATGGTCTGGCTCCTGAATGATATGTACATGCCATGGTAAGTGGAAGGGAGGATGTCAGAATTCAGATTGGACATGTTGAGTCTGAGATGACTTTCATTCATCTAATTGAAATTGCCAGGTAGGACACTGGTCAAATGTGTGTGGACTTCAGAGGAGAGTGCTGGTCTGGTCTGTTGATATAGATTTGAGGGTTACTCCAGATGGATGCTATTAAAAGGCAGGAAGTTGTAAAGATCAGCTAGGGAATAAGAAGAGAAGACCAGGGGCTCAAGGCTCGGGACATCAGGAGCAACTAACCAAAGGGACTGAGCGGGTAGGCCATGGGGAGGACCAAGATGGGATGGTTAGAAGCCCAATCAAGAAAGTGCTAGAAGGAGGAAGGAGTAACCAATACATTAAATGTGGCTGATGGCCCAGGAAGCAGAGAGCAGCCCTGTCTAGCAGCTCTGCAACATATCAGCAAGGAGGCAGGGGATACTATGTGCATCCACAACAGGTCACATAAAACCCCGCTCAATTCCACATCTCCAGTGACCCCTGGGAAGGAGCATGGCAAGGTCGAGGAGCCAAAATACTAAAACACAGTGTTTGGTAAGAGACTGCTCATATCATTTTATTGGATTAACTCCACCTGTCAGATTAAAAGGTTCTGCCTCGCAAGAATCAGCTTTGAGGGAGAATGATTGATTTATTTATCAAATAAAGAAATAATGAGTAAATGAAGCTACCTTTTCTTTGCACCTCTGAATGTGTGATAAGTAATTAAGTAACCTCACCTCATTAATAAATGGTCCTATTCTGAAGGGCCTATGTTTTCATACACTTGACTAAAATACAATTTTCATTTAAAAATGTAATTAAAAGTACAGACATACGCTTCCCATGAAAGCTGACTGCGAATGAGGTGCATAGTCCGTCATAATGCAGAGGTCACACAAATGTGTCTGCAGCATACACCACACAGAGTGTGGAACGGTGCTGGCCATTCAGTAAGTATTTGTTAATGGAATAAATTCACTTGCATTTTAAAAGTTTCTTTACTTTCTGTAAAATGCTCTCAGGATGAGATCACACTATGGTTATTTCTCTTCAAGACTGCCCTGGGTGTTTACCTGGCAGTATAGGAAGTATGGCAACATGGTCAAACCAAGAATGTCTTAAGCCAGCAAAGAGAAGTTTAAAATCAAGGAAATACTTAAAGTTCTTGTTTCATGCAGCACCCTGTATCAGGCACAAGGTCCTCAATTTTTCTTTTGATGGTTAGAGCTCCTGCTTCTGACAACCTGTTAGAACCCCACAGTATCTGAGCCAGTCTTTTTGTTTACAGATCAGGAAGCCGAAGATCTGGGAGGCTTTGGGATCCCTCCAGATTCCTGATTAGATAATAGTAGTGATGATTCTTGGGTTAGATTCTGTCTACTTTTTCTTCCAAGCCCCTGCCAATGATCTTTGGTTCATATAAGCTATGTTAATTTTCTTCTCGACTCAATAGGACCTCCCAATTTAAAGACAATAATTCTGCAAAGAAGACTGAAAATGGTTAGTATTTGCAAAATACTTATGTCTACGTAGTGTTTGTTTTCCACGTTCCTCACCTGGCAAAAGAAGTGAATCATCTTTGACTACAGAGCAGAGGTAAAGAACTCTAATACCTTTAAGATGCAAATGAACAGTCCATATGGGGCTGTGACAAAATGAACAGTTCTTATGGGTCTGTGGCAAAATAAAGAGTGTGTGAATTAAAAAGACGGCTGATGCCCAACGCCAGCCAGTGTTTGGAGACCTACTGTGTCATCTCTTTCCAAATTTTCCAGAACTCTTCATTTCTTTGTGAAATTTCCAATTTTGCACATTGGCCAGTAATTCAACATTTCAAAAAATTAGGAAAAGAAAACATGGTGCAGATAAAAAGTTTTAGATGAGCAGACTTGTCTGTGGCTTTGGCCTGAGGCTTCCTTTTTGAAGCACTGGTGTAGAGGTCTGGGGTTGTTTTGGAATCTCTGTCATTAAAAAACTGCTCTGAGCCTAGCGCTGTAGGAATTCCTATGGATAGGGGAGAAAGGGAACGTATGGTAACTTACAGAGTGTTTCTTTTTTTTTTGGAAGTTCCTATTCAGTTGGCAAGACCAGTCCATATGTATGCACGCAAATATATATTTATGTGATAACTGGGAAGGCATGTAATCAATATTCGACTGGATAGTGTGAACTACAAAATCTAGAGGATGGTTAATAAAAACAAATTAAAGTGCATGCTGATTATTGACATATTTCTTCTCAAATGCATTTTTTTTCCTCTTTTTGCCTGATCTGTGAAAATAGATCTGGGACCTTAAGATATTTTTGCTTCACCAGCTGGTGTGATGTTGAGCTTTGCCATTGTAGCAGGAAAGGGTTTTGCTTCCTGGTTTTGAAGTGCTAGCTTGGCAGCCTTCCTCAACGGCTTCTCCAGTGCCTGCTTCCCTAGTACTCATGGCTTCTCCTGTTTCCAACTCTTTCAGTGCACAGCATATCCCCATGCCCGTGGGCCAGCAGCCTCCTCTGGCTCCTGCCTCGGGCAATGTTGTATTAGATTGCTTCCATGAGATACCTCATGGTGAATAGCTTTCCCTGGGACCCTAGACAATAGCTCTCTGAAAATTTCCAGAGAAAGAATTTCCAGCAAGTTTCACCAGCATCTCACACTGCCCATTTGGTGAGCCATGGTCCTGCCTTTGCCAGGATCTAGATCTCAGTCCTAGGAATAGTGGCCATTCCTTAGAGCTGCTGTTTGGATGCTCTTTAGTTTCTCTACTTCTTATTGCCAATTCCTTGTTACTACAATGTCCTCCTATAGCTAATGCTTTTCTGTGTTAAAAAATTTACTGTTAAAATTACCATGCAGTTTTGATCTTCTGACTGGACCAAGATTGATATAGAGTGCTGTTCTCTTCCCCCAAATTCAAAATGATTCCTCCATAAGCCATGTCTGAGCTATAGACTATGCCTATCTGCCCTTCCTCCACTCCTATCTTTTTTTAGTTGTTGAACTGGGGATTGAACCTTGAGGTGATTTACTACTAATCCACATTCCCAGTCCTTTTTATTTTTTAATTTTGAAACAGAGTCTTACTAAGTTACTGAGGGTAGCTTAAAATTTGAGATCCTCGTGCCTCAGCCTACCAAGTATATGGGATTAAAATTATAGTCATGCACCACAGTAATTGGCCATTCTGACCTTTTGATTTTTAGTTCACCTTGATTCTTGTCCTCCTGAGAGCTGATTTACAGAGGAGGTACTGGCTCAAATCTGACCAGAATATTTCCCATGGTTGTTACAAACTTCAGTTGGGGTGATAAAAATATTCTATATTAGGGTTGCAATTTTGATTATGTGTGGGTGTACAAATTCATTAATACCCATTGAAAGGTATGATTTAAATGGGTATGTTTATTGTAAAAATATATATATCTTAATACAGAGAGTTTTCAAAAAAGCTATGTTCTGAAATTAAAACTAAGACTATAATCTGCCAGGGGCCTTTGCTCCTGCCTAGTGGGAAAGGTCAGACTGGAGAAGGAAGCTGACAGGCAGGCAGGGCAGGATGCCAGACAAGGAGAGCAGAGGCTTGCAGGTCTGGTCCTTGTTCCTTTGTTATCCAAGAGTAGATCTACCCTTTTCTTTTCTGCTATTTAAACATCTTGTGAGCTAATAAATTCACTTTTTTGAATAAATTCATTCCATATGAGTTTCTTTTACTTGTAACCAAACCATTTTATATAGAGACAAAAGGTTGTCTTGGGCAGAGCCAGTCAGAGTGAGCAAAGATGAGCCAGATCTTCTAGGGTACACACAGAAGAGGCAGAAAGGCCCTGCAGGTGACACGATAAAGAAAGCACAACAAAACATTACAAAGCTCATGACATATCATATTTCATACATTTGATTCAAACAGATTATGAACTCCCATTCTTACCCCGTATACATGTTGCAGATTCACATCGGTTCCACATCCACTTTTTTACACACTGCCATACTCGTGTCTGTTGAAACTCTGAGGATGGTTTAGCGCCGGGAATTCTATCACTGGAATTTGCTTCATTACTAGATTGAACAACAGAAAACACATTATTTCTCAAGCTACTAGGAAAAAAAAACACCAACCATTTACCTGTGATTTAAAAGAAAAAGAAAACCTGTTTAGAACCTGGAAGGGATCATTTTAATAAAAGTTATAAATTTAAAAAAAAAAGAAAGAAAGAAAGCACAACAGAGAATAAGGACACATGTGGCGCCTGTGGAGACCGGCTCGCAGAGTCCAGCAGTTCAGAGCAGGAACTTGGAAATCACATGGATTTGGGTTTGAATATTAGCTTCACTGCTTGCAAACTAGCGTCTAGAGTCCCAAGGTCTCTAAGCTTCAGGTAGTTGTTGAAGGAAAGTTTAAATGAGATTAAGTACTTAAAACATGATAGTGACAGAGACATTATTAGAAATGATAAGAAAAATAGTAGTGGTAGTTATTCATGCTTGTGATGATCGAAAAATAGCACTTATAAATACGATTATTTAATTCCAAATTAGTAATTGGTATAATTGATATCGGTCTCTAGGAAACTTATTAACTAAATTGCAAATACTTACAAAAGAAATGGGTGATTCCTAAGCATTAGCAATGGCTCACTGAGATCAGGTCATGCCAACTTATTTTCTATTCTGTTCAGTGGTTTTATAAGATAGAGGGTGTATAAGGATGTTACTGACATGGACTGTCCATTTAAGAAAGATAATGGATAAAGAGACACCATAGCTTGAGTTGGACACTTTCAGCTGAGGCTACCTCTTTTCGCAGAGTTTCCTAGATTTTTTTCTTTTTTCTTTTGGTGGGGGGTTGGTACCAGGGATTAAACTCAGGGGCACTCAACCACTGAGCCACATTCCCAGCCCTTTTATATGTTTTATTTGGAGATAGGGTCTCACTGAGTTGGTTAGTGCCTCGCTTTTGCTAAGGCTGGCTTTGAACCTGTGATCCTCCTGCCTCAGCCTCCTGAGCTGCTGGGATTACACGATTGCACCACCACACCTGGCCAGAGTTTCCAGTTTTTAGAAAGCTTATCCTTTTATTGATCCTAAATTTTTACATTTGCATCTTGGTTCTGCTGTTCAGAAAGGCACCAAAATAAAACTGATTCTTCTTCCCGGTTCATGAAGATCCCTCTCTCTTCCTTTGGATATTTTTTCCTTTGTTATATCAATCTTCAGTTCCTCCTACTGATTATCCTCTGTTCTCTTACTGAGTCATTTTAACTGATACCCAGGGTCTTCCCTTCAGGGCCTCCTTGAGACACATCCATTTGGGAATGTGATCCCTTTTTACAATTGGTTGTATTATTCCTGATGTTTTCAGACCTATGCAGATCACAGAGGAATGATGTCCAAGATTCATTAATATTTTTATCTTTTAATTTCAATACTGAAAACATTTAGAGGGAGTTACATGATATTGTTGACTCATTTCGAATTTGAAAAGAACAGAATTCAACTGTACGATTGAAAATATACCTTTCTAAATTTAAATCTATGGCTGTGCTACAACTACTGGTCTAAACAAACAAACAAACAAACCTATAGGGTTTTATCACTATTCTTGAAAATTTCAGTATAGTAACTCAACCTGTCAAAATCTTGATCCTGTCATCTGTTAGGTTAGTTATACCTCCTGGCTTCATTTCATCCCCAAATTGAATTTGCATGATCCTACATCATAAACCACTGACAAAGTGTTGACTAGGACAGAACCAAAGGTGGAGACCTACAGCCTGTCATAAAGACTGCCTTCTACAGTGACATAGTTGTATTAATGTGCAACCTTTCGGTAGTGTTCCAACCCACCTAGAGTGCTCTTATTTGCATGCTGGTCATCTTCCATCTTGTCACATGGATATCAAGACAAACTTGGGAGTTGTGAGACAAGCCTAGATTTTGGGTGTATTATTCAGGAATCACCAGAGAAACGATGCTGCTATACCATCTATACCTATGCCTGTATCTATATCTATATTCACAAAGAAAGAGATTTTTAAGGAATTGGTTCATGTGATTTTGGTAACAAAAATCTAAGATGGACAGACAGGCTGGAGACCCAAGAAAGAGCTGCAATTGGGTCCAAAGATAGTCCGCTGACAGAATTTCTTCTTGCTTATGGGAGATAAGTCTTTGTTCCGTGTAGGCCTTGACTCACTGGATAAGCTTCTGCATTCCACACCCACAACACACACACACATACATTTGTAAGGTAATCTGCTTTACTGAAAGTCCAGTGACTTAAATGTTATTCACATTAACAACAACAACAACAAACAATTTCACAGAAACATCCAAAATAGTATCTGATCAAATATCTGGGCACTATGGCTATTGTGGACTGAATGTTTGTATCTATCTCAAAGTTCCTACATTGAAACACTAACCCCCAACATAAAGGCATTTGGAGGTAATTAGGATTTGATGAAGTCATGAAGCAGGGACCCCGTCAGGGGATTAGTGCCCTTACAGGATGAGGAAGACCAGAGCTCTCTTTACCATATGAGAAGCTCTCTTTACAATGAGAAGAAAGCTGTCCACAAGCCCAAGAGAGGGCCCTCCCCAGGATTGAGCATGCTGGTGCTCTGATCTTGGACTTTCCCACCTCTAGAACTGTGAGAAATACATTTCTGTTCTTTAAGCCACCCAATCTGTGGAATTGTGTTATGACAGCTGGAGCTAACTGAAATTCACCCTTATTCGGAGATTAGATGTATGTAACCTGCCATGAAGGATGGCCTTAAAATAATGGTACAGGCCACGCCCCTCACAAAGCCACTGTGCAGAGGGCAGGCAGGGGCTGAAAGCTTGTCAGTGTACCACTCCCCAAGTCATGCACCCTGAGCTGGAACTGGGTCTATCCCAGGGACACTTTGTACTAGTCAGGTGCTACATAATGTTGTTGTGGCCAAGTGTAGGTTACACATATGATGGTGGTCCCTTAAGATTGTAATGGAGTTGAAAATTTTCTGTTACCGAGTGACAACATAGTTATCATAGTGCGGTTGCTCTGCACATTACCCATGTTTGTGGTGATGCTGGTGTAAACATATCTACTGTGTTGCCAGTGGTATAAAAGTATAGCACATAGGATTTTGTACAATACATAACACTTGATAATGAAACATTCTGTTACTGGTTTATACATTTTTATACTATTTTTAATCATTATTTTAGCATATACTCCTACTTATTAAAAAAGTATGCTGTAAAATATGTTATAGTACACTGACGGCAGCCTCATACATCTCATTTACTGCATCTTGGTGGCATGATTTTAATCTCACGACCATGGGAGTAATGTTCTATCGTATGTTCATGTGTCATGCAGCCCAGGTGTGCAGTTGGCTATGCCATCTAGGTATGTGTAAGTACATTCTCTGATGTTTATGCAATGATGAAATTGCCTAATCGTGCATTTCTCAGAACATGCTCTGTCATTAAGCAGGGTAACTATTTACCTAACCATGTGCCCTTGAACACAATTTTCTAATTTTCACAGTCGTTAAGTAAGTTCTGATCTTTTAAAACAATATTTTAATTTATTTTTGATGAATATATTTTACTTGTGCATAATAATGGGGATCCATATTTTAACACATGCATGCAGCAAGCACTGGTCAAATCCAGCTCCCTTTGTCCCCTCTCCACCCCATCCTCTCCAAACTCTAGTACTCACTATTATACATTCAGGTTGACTTTGTTTAGGGTCTACATGTCAAAGGGACTGTGTGGTCCTTGTCTTTTTGTGCCTTATATCACTCAACATAATGTCTTCTAGTTCCTTCCATTTTGCTGTAGTTGACAGAATTTCATTCCTCTTTATGGCTAAAAAATGTTCCATTGTGTATAATCTACTGAAGTTGTGATCTTGTATCTGATTTCTAATCGTGACTTAAGTTCTTAGTAGTTACATGTCCATGGGCTACATTAGTTATATGTTCATTTCTGTGAAGCTTCCTTTTCTGTGAAATGGGCATATATACTAAGTCTTAGATTAGATGAGGTAATGTGTCCCTGGCTGGCCTGTTGTGTGACATACAGTGCTTATGTGGGGACATGGTCGCCAGATTGCTGATGCTATATATTTTCTGATCTAAACTCTGTATTTCTTGTAGCTACAACTTCTCGGCACATTCTTTATCTCAAATATTCCTTCATTACTGGGTTTAATGCTAGATTCCATTTAGAAATATTGGCTGATCTGGATGACAGCGGGATTTGCTTTTCAAACATTAAAAGAGAGACAGAGAGAGAAGGAACAGGATTGCTTTAAACATTGAGGTTCTTTGTCTGGATTAGGCAAGGACAGTTGGAGTCAGGGGACAGTGAGACAGGCCATGAGTTGCCATTGCCTGAAGCATACAGCTGGCAAGTCTAATTGTAAGTCCATGCTGAAGTCCTTTTTGATGCTCATAAATGCAGAATGTCCTATTTCATCAAAGCAGTGGTTTTTAGGGAGACACTAAACAGATGACAGCCATGCAGACTTCCCAAGAAGAGTTGAACACATGGTCACAGGTAATGTTTGTAAATAAATTAACAAATCATATGAAGAAATTCAGGATATTGAGTGAATAAGACTCTTTTCCCTTAATTAAAAGGTTGTGGCTGTGAGCTTCTGTGGAGGAATGGCTTGCAATCAAACATTACATCTCTGTGGATAATTCCATGGTCATTTAAAATTTCAAATGTCTATAAATATTTTTAGTTTGACACCTTCCTCCAAAAAAGAAATAATGCTTAGGACAAATTAATTATAAATGATTAGGAGATAGGAAAACATCTTCTGTGGTTTGATCTTGATAAAAATTCAGAGTTTGAAAAATAGTTGAGAATGTGGCTCCTCTAGAATGTTCCTATTCCAACAGACTCTATTTCAGATTAATAATAATAATAAAAAGTCCAACTTCTCCCACTACAGCACATTGGAATTCTTACTGTCTTTTTTTTTTTATTTTTTATGTTTTTGTGGTCCCTTCTCTTTCTCTTCTCTGCAGAAGTCAGCTTGACAGAGTGGTTGTACACACATGGAAAAAAAAATCATAAGCTGGTAGAAGGATGGAGTCTGCTTGCTTTCCAGCAATTCCTCTGTGGCCTGGCTTCCTCTCCTCCTCCAACAGAAGCCAGGTCTTCCTGCACATAAGAAGGAAGGAAGGAGGTGGTGTAGAAAGGGGAGGCAGTGGAGAGAGGGGGAGAGTTATTAATGGTAGGTTGAATGGCAGGAATAAAAAGGAAGGAGC